CTTGGTATTCCCCCGGATAAGCTGGAGGAGGTGGCTGGGGAGAGGGAGGTCTGGGCCTCTTTGCTTAGGCTGCTGCCCCCGCGACCCGGCCCCGGACAAAGCGGATGAAAATGGATGGATGGATGGATGGATGGTAATCATAGCAAAGATAAATCATGTAAATCACATTTACAGCAATAAAAAAGGATTCATAAATAAACAGTGTGGTAAAGAAAGGAAAGCAAAAGCCTTATAGGTTAATTGATTGCTAAAATGAGCAAGAATTAGCAAACATTAGAAGATTAGCTGGGTTACATGCTGGTTAGCACTGCTGTCTCACAACAGTCAGTTCAAATCCACCATCTGGCCGGGGACTTCTTGTGTGGAGAACATTTTGCATGTCGTGCCCCATCTCTCTACATACTCCTCCCACAATCAAAGATATTCAGTTAGAGGGTTTGGGCTATTTGTTGATTCTAAATTGCCGATAGTTGTAAATCGTTTGTCTGTCTCTTTGGATTAGCTGTTTGACAGACTGCCAACCGGTCCAGGGTGTACCTGGCTTTCGACCTATGACAGCTGGGAGAGCCGACTTTTTTGTAATTTGTTTAAGTGGTCTTGAGCAATAGTTTCCAAAATATAGGAAAAAACGCTAAAGATAACACAATTTTTTAAGGCATAAAAAGTATTTTTCTACCAACAAGTTGGTTTCCAAAGAGCTATTAACTGAAAATTGTCATATCTCACCATGGTGTGTAGTGTGTCTTTCAGAAAACTGAGCGATTTAGTCAAGTAGAGGACAAAAGATGTTTCAGATCTAAAAAAAAACTGCCAACAGTAGAAGAAGAGTATCTGGAAGTCTTGCTTATGAAATAGGAAAAAACAGACTGGACCTGAGGGATATATCTGACCATCTACTGTTTGCTGAAGTGATCATATCACATCAGTGGAATTGTAGGTGGCCAAAGATTAATTTCCACACAGTACATTAATGATCAGCACAATCTTCAACATCTCATACATGTAGAATCCATGGGCTGCGGTGGTCCTCACTGGGCTCTCGTACTCTGGGGGGGGGGGGGCTCTGGATGTCTTGGATCTCCTCCATGCCTGCTTCATGTTCTGGTGGGGCAGGGCTCCCCACACCCACTATTAGACAGTTACAGTTATGAATGCATATCATGCATTATTAGTACTGTATGCTACTCAGTGGCATTCAACGTGTATTATTTATTGTTATTTATGCTTATGTTGGTTGATGCTGTTGTTTCCTTGCTGTGTCATATTCTTTTTGCTTGTTTTTCTCAACAGTTGGTAAAACAGATTATCAGTGTCTTCTGTCTCTCTGTCACTCTTCCTCTATTTATCTTTCCCATCTCCTTCAATTAACTCTTTTCCCAACTTCTTTTTCCTTCTTCAGTCTCTTTCCCATCTCCCGGTCCTGTCCGTTCTGCTTGTAATAACGAATAAGCTAATAAACTATGACAATCAAGTGTACTAGTATAGCAAAAGGTCCACTTGGGAAAATAAATCTGCTGGCTGTTTTTCTTGGCCGTCAGACTTTAATTCTGATTGCTCCAGTTTGGATAATAAATAAATAAATCTCAGAGCAGGCAAAAAAAAAAAGAAAAAGAAAAAAATTACACTAAAATAATTTAACATCCAAAATAAAATCAGGATGTTTGCAGAAGCCATTGCGCTCTTTAACAGCACTTGCAAAAATACTTTTAAAAAAGCAGTTTTCATAGTGGGGCTGATAATTCTGTCCTCAGCTAATGTAATATATCATTCTATATAACTAATTCATCTCTGTGTGATAAATTCTTTACCGCTAAAACAACTTTGAGACCCCTCGTCTTCTCAATTGTCAGTGAGTTTGGTAGACTGGAAACCTAACCATGCTGAGATAAGCAACTTGGGGCTTGATGGGTAAAAAACTATGAGTAGTTTCTACCTAGAATGCACTGTGTAAAAGTAGTTCCCTGTAAATATAATTCATATTTACATGATTCATATCTGTCTGAAGCTCCTATGGGTAAAACAGCTTTCATAGTACAGACCTTGTTTCATACTTAATGACCATCTGAATAATAAGTTATTCCACTGTGCTGATTTGCACACACTGTATTATAAGCATTAAGTAAGCCCTCTTAGGATCAGTAACAAATCATATTCCTTACTGCCCAATTGGCTGGATAATTGAGATTCACGTGCAGTCGGGTGGTCCCCCCCCTCCACACACAATATGAACTCTATTTTAAAGAAAGGCACACATAAAAGTCCCATTCTATTAAATCAAATGAACATGATATGGTACAGATAAATAGAGGGTCATACTTTCACATCTTAGTTCCTGTAGTATTACAATAATGATTCATTCTGAAATGAATAGGATACAATTGATTTCATAGATCAGTCAGCTCTGCCCACTCTCCCATCAACAGCTGCTTCTAGAGCACACGAGATGAAATTAAGTTGAAAATTTTATTGATTTTGTATTTGTCTTCTGGTTGAGTAAACATCCTCCTGGAAATCAAGAGCCTCAGTTTACCAGTTCAGAAAACTGCAACCACGTTTCCTCTGTATTGATCAGTTCTACATACAGGGAGTGCAGAATTATTAGGCAAGTTGTATTTTTGAGGAATAATTTTATTATTGAACAACAACCATGTTCTCAATGAACCCAAAAA